GGGTTTTAGCATCTTGAGTTCCTATGATGTCGACTATTATCATTACATTATATTATCATGTGTATATTATCATGACATTATCATGTTAATGTCGACTTTAAAAAATATGTAGTCGTTCAACCCCTAGACAGCACAACCCGTCCTGCTGTGATTGGATCAAAGTGTAGCTCTGGATCTCTATTTGTTGAAAGAGAGGAGACCGCGACTAAGTGAAGGTTCAACACAATCTGCTGGCTTCCTTAGATAACTTTTACTAATTGGGTTTTTTATGCATGTGAATCTGTTCAGTGCCCTGAGACTTGACGCCATATAAATAAACTGATCTGAATTGAAAGCAGCGTCTGATTAATCCCTGTATCATTATATTGGATGACTTGAAAAAGACCACAACAAAACCCTTGTCCCCCCCCCCCCCTTTAATTTTTACATATGACATAAATCACAAACGTACTACAAGCTCTGAATGCTTTCTAAAAACCAACGACAAACAGAAACATCAGCTGTAGCGAAGAAGAATAGCACTGATTTGAGCAGAGAGTTTTTGCCCAACATCTGTTGGGACTTTCTTCTTCCTCACAGACCTATCGTCACCTCTCTCCCCCTTCACTCGGACGGACTAATTACTACCCAGCCCTCTCTCCCTCTGGATCAGACAGGATAATTAGTTGGTTTCCTTTTTTACTGGGAACGTCCACCCATGTTCTCCACAGCGCTCAAAGCTTTGAAACGGTTCAAATGATTACTTGGTTTAGCTGCTGTTGTAGTGGCACCACTCGCTTCAGTGTGAAGCTGTTACTTGGTGTTTATCTTTGTATAATGTAATAATACAAGATTGATGGTGAATAGCAGTCTGCAGTGTAAAGGCTCGTAGTTGTGGAAGCAGACCTGGAGCCGTGGGAGCACTGCGCACTTGCTGCTTCCAAGTCCGGCTGCAGAATCCAAAACGTGCCAGCAGCCTCGGTCTCCAAAGTTCACGGTATGAAAGTCCCTCACCGTACTCAGACGTCAGGTTTCAACATTGGTTCTGTTTGCTTTGCTGACCGAGAATTTTCCAAATCCATTTTGGAGCAACCTAACGCCTGACACCGCAAGGTTTTATTAATATATCCAGGCTTATATCCAGGACCACGATTCATTTTTCTCCCCCAGCTCGGGCCCAACAGAACTGAGCCAAAATGCATTTAGGACTGAGTTCAGTGTAATTTCCCATTTTCAGGCTTTTAATTTAGAGGGCAAATGGTTGCAGAATGTTTGTGTTTAACAGCTTGCCAAGTGTTGGCTCTGCTGGGACACCGACGGACTCGTTTATTTATTCACCCGTACTTTTCACAGGCACCAGGCCAGTGGGAAATTGTAGCCATATCTCTCGTATTCTGTGTTGACTCCAGTTAAAACACTGGACACATGTGGACGGACAACATGCTGACTGATCAACATGCTGTGTGTGTAGTTCCCAGGTGACGTGGATGCTGGCGCAGAGACAGCAAGAGGAGGCGCGCCAGCACCAAGAAAGAGCCATGAACTACGCCAAGCTCAGGTCCAATCTGCAGCATGCCATGTAAGACCCAAACACACGTGCACACAGCTGACCAGAGACTCTCAGGCCATTGATTATATGAACGTGTCGTCAGCAGTCGTCGCGGCACCGGGCTGATGGAGGAAGACGAAGAGCCTATTGTAGAGGATGTTATGATGTCATCCGAGGGTCGCATGGATGACCTCAATGAAGGCATGGACTTTGACACCATGGACATTGATCTGGTGAGAAACACACCCAGAGATGTTTATTCTTTCACTCATAAACAACTTTACTTACTAAAATTGTCACGGGAGCCTCTAAAAATGAAAGTGTTTCAAGTAAATTTTTGTCATCGTATTGTATTTCTTTAACATTTCTCTGCTTGTTGTTCATATTTTATCCTTACTGTCCCTTTACAGATTAATACTGAATGACAAGCCTGAAATAAAAAGCAGCTATGCTTTATTTCTGTCCTTGTAACATCTAGTCGTAAAACACAGATCAAATTAAACTAAACTCCTTTTTAGGCTTTTACAAAACGAAGTTCAAATTATGGAGCTTAGGCAGAGAAATCACTTGATTTGATGCAAGTTTTATACAGAAAACATCTTTTAAATGTTTCGTTACTGAACATTACTGAAGAAAAACGTTTTGGCCTTTTTTGAGGAAATATAGCTGCCGTCTTTTTGTATAATGATGTAATTGTGTCCATAGTCAGCTTTTGCTTTTATTTATAACTTAAATTGCAAAATATCATAGTTGTGGCCAAAAAATATGCAGTGATGTTTTTTAATTGTTGGCTGTTAGTAAAGTCCACATTATAAAACTTATGTTTAGTTTGAAACAAAGAAAAATTCAGAAGAATTACTATCAGTTTGTGGAGTATTTTATTACAAAATATATATTATGTTCTTTAGAAACAGTAAATGGCATTGTTTATTACTGTTCTCACTAAAATCACAGAACGGTGTATTATCCAGGACAAATGTTTTACTGGAGTTGTATTCACCAGAAGCCCATATAAATATTTGGTTTTCTCTAAATTCACTTTAACTAATCATCCAAATATAGAATAAAATTATATATTTTTTTTATGATTTCTTTAATTTCTTTCTTTCTTTTTTCAGAAAAGGATTTTTTTTTTTTTTAGAATCAAGAAAATGTATATGCTAAAATATAACCATCTATCAGGAACTTTTGTTTACATTTTATTTATCTTTTTGTTCCCTTTCAGCCACCATCTAAAAACCGCCGTGAGAGATCTGAGCTCAAGCCCGACTACTTCGATCCTGCTTCAATCATGGATGAATCGGTAAGAACACGCTTCTCTTCTCTTGATCTTAGGCTGGAGAATTAACTTTGTTTTCATCCTGACAGGTTTTTATTGAGCCACTGTTACATTTCTGTGTTTTCAACATGTGAAGTTAGACGATCACGATTATGTTCCTTGTTAAACATGCAGTTAATCAGAATGCACTGGATGGAGCAGGTTTAGCTTTAAAGACTTGGCTTAGAACAAGTCTCTTCACATTTAGGCTCCATTTTTACTGAATGAGGTTTTGTAAAACTTTCATAAATGTTGAGCAGCCCAGCTCGTTGCCAAGTGCTACATTTCTCTGAGATTATGGAGCAATGATTGATGCCGCTGTAAACAAACTTCAGTCTGCACGGCCAGACTTGAATTCTTGTTTCAGCTTGTCACAGCCATAAGCAACCTGGAGGTTTGCTGCATGGTTTGGTCTGACGGTGAACTGTACAAAGCAGTAAAACACTGTGGATTTTTGGGGAAACTTTAAATAACGTTGGATCACAAAAACTGCTCCAAACCAAAGCAGAGATTTTTTTTTTGTCGGGTCAAGTGCTGTGATTTCAGTCATACCTGGGAAAGTTCACGGGGAAGTAAAACTACTTCAAAAATCAAAACCAAGTCTCCGCTGGAAGTTATGTTCTGATGTGCTCCTTCTAAACAAAGAATATTTACCTTAAAATTTTGCCAGGAACTCAGTCCTCCAGAAGCAGTGTAGTTTTCTCAAGAAAGTGACGAGATGGGATTGTAAAACAAAACTTGTCACTCATTCATTCAGTTTAGTTTGTCTTTAGATAAGTAGTAAACATCCAACAGCTACTAATCAGCTCTTTTCAGAGCAGCAAGTAGTTTTCAGAATAGCATGGTGTTGTTTCAATTCTGTACACTTTTAGTCCAAAACAAGCTGTTTTGAAGTGTTTAATCTAAACAGTTCAACTGTCTCTCATTGTTTCATGTTGGGTGATGCGTGGAGCCATATATTGGAAAGCTAATTAACACGGAGCTCCCAGGTCACAGTTTCATTAAGTGCCTATGAATTGTTGTCAACATGATAAATTGTCAAATATGTACTGTGAGTTGCAAAAGTATCCACCCCCTTGGCCTTCTCCGATGGCATCCTTCCAGTTGGATAAGGGCTGCTTTTGTCCAACCATCTTTAAATCATAGCAGAGATTCTCAGTTGGACTGAAGTCTGGGCTCTGACCGGGTCTTCTGGAGTGGTGCTTTAGCAGAGTGTTTAGGAGGGACGGGATCTTTAAGAACCTCATGATTCATTTCAGTTATGAATGAAAGGGCTGCGATGAGATTAGCAAACATTGATCCATGCATCTTTAATAACGCTTCAGAAAAATCCTTTGCCTTGAATCTCTGACCTAAAAGAAACAAAATATTTTGGTCTGCATTGCAGTATGCAATAGTTTTCATTCACAGAATCTGAAACTAAATAAAGGGAGTAAATCTGAGCGCAGTGTCAGTGGGTGCCCATGTGTCAGAGGTTAGAGCTACCTAACCCACTTTTTTAGTGCTTCCTTGACTGTTTTTGGTCCCGTTATAGTGTAGTGGTGTGAATGGTTGTGTTGGTATCTTTCACAAAGGAGGGTCATATCCTCTCGTGGCTCGTTCTTGTCCGCATTGATAAATCAGTTAACACCCACCCTGAGTGTTCAGGCTCAACGTCCTGCTGGAAAGTTAAGCTCCATCTCAATTCTTCTGGACAGACTTTCCTCTCTTGGCATTGTAAATACACCTCTCAAATCGTTCCATTCATACCTTTCAGGCCGCACTCAGTTTGTTCAGTTAAAATCATCCATGCCTCAACCTGTTTCTGTTACCTCAGGTGTTCCCCAGGGCTCTGTCTGGGACCCTTGTTTTTCTATCATTTATCTTCTCCCCTTGGTTACATTTTTTGCAAACATCATATTCACCTTCACTGTTACGCGGATGACACCCAGGTCTATCTCTCAACCAAACCTAACTTTACACTTCCACCCTCGTCCCTCACTGATTGTCTCCTTGAAATAAAACACTGGTTCACTTTAAACTTTCTTAAATTAAATTGCAATAAAACAGAACTTCTTTTAATTGGAACTAAATCAATACTAAATAAACTTCATAGCTTTTCCATTCCGGTTGATAACTCCTCCATCTTTCCCTCCCATCAGGTTAAGAATCTAGGTGTCATCCTTGATAGCACCCTCTCTTTTTCCTCCCATGTCAACAATATCACTCGTTCAGCCTACTTCCATCTTTGAAATATTCATCGTCTCCATCCATCCCTCACTCCTCACTCCACTGCTGCTCTGATCCACAGTCTGGTCACCTCTCGTTAAGATTATTATAATTCTCTTTTTTTTTGGCCAACCAAACTTTTTATGCTAGACTATGTAAGGTGACCTTGAGTACCAAGAAAGGCACCTACAAATAAAATTCATAATTATTAAATCTCTGAAAAACAGGTTTCCCTCAAGAATTTCTCTAAATTTGGCTCCATACTTCCTTTAACTTCGACCAATTTTCCAGCTGATCTAACAAAAGAAGACAGTAGTCCCTCGATGATCGCGGGGGTCACGTTCCAGACACCACCGCAAAAGGTGGAAAACTGTGAAGTAGGAACGCTATATTTATTTTAGTATTTATAAATACTTTAAGGTTTTATAAACCCTTCCCACACTCTTTCAATGTTCTAAACTCTTAAACCAACGTCATTTTAACAACATACGTATATGTACTGTACAGTACTGCAAAGTTTTATATGGGTACTCACCAGCTCTGCAGACCAGCAGCTCTGTTTGGGTTCTGTAGACCTGCCCTGCAGCGACGAAGCCCACCGCCCCATCCAGGTTGATGAACGCACGGATAATTTAACTTCAGGAATATTTGACTTTCCTGCCCGTTCTGTGAGCTTCATAGAAAAGATCGTTACTTCTGACTTTGCGTTGCAAAACTTTCCCTCCATTTCGGCAGAAAGCAGCAGCCGGAAGCACTGTTGGCTTCTGGGTAGTGTAGTTCTTTTGACTTGCATTACATTATAGGCTCATTGAAAGAAAACTACAAAATGGCGGCGCCTGTTTGAAGTATTTTTTTTGTTACCCTTTTATCCCGTACCGTTCCAATCACGTGAGTAATATTAAAGTCGTGTCGTTTACAGTCTTAATTTGAAAAACCGCGAAAGAGTGAGTCTCGAAAGTCGAACTGCGAAGTAGCGAGGGACTATTGTACAACAAACCAGCTTCACTGTGAGGTTGTCAGCATAATGAGAGGTGTTAGCTTGAAACTACATGATGATGGTTTATTTTGAGGGAGTAGGTGTAGGTTGAATTTTAGGTTTTATTTCGCAACGCACTAGTTTAAATGTTTAATTAATAACTTGAATAACTTGTGTTTCTGTCTCCTAGGTCCTTGGGGTGTCCATGTTTTAAGCTAACATCCAGATGATTTTGACGATGGGAGAACAGAAGAGGCGCTTTGTATTTAAAGAGAATTTTAGATGCGAAAACGAGTGTTTTCTGTAAGAAAAAGCAAAAAATAAAACAAAAAAAAATAGATTCTGGCTTGTACTCCACGTGGACCAATGACAACCCATACTCAGTGTTGCTTGCTCAGAGAGGACTTTGTTTCAAGAATTTAACTTTTCTAATGTTGGGTGAGCTCTTCCTGTTTGAAACCAGTGCAACAGGCCACTTCCAAATACCTATTAGAAAGGTCTGAAGAAAAATTATAGCTTTTTTTTTTTCTTCCTTCCTTTCGTTCTTTTTTTTTTTTTTTTTTTAAAGGGGATGAATCAGTGTGTTTTAACTTAAGAAATGTTTTTTTTTATGTCTAACCCTTTTTACAATTGTAGTAAGTTACCAGGTGTGATGTAGTAATTTATAAACAAACTGTAGTAGCTTGCTTGTACCGTGTTAGCCAAGTGGATGGAGGTCTTTCTGTTTGTTTCCTTATTGTTTTTCTTTGTTTACTTCAATCTCTTCAGTTGTTTTTTTTCTTTCTCCTCCCTGTTGTCGGGTCTGAGTCGAGGTCCTGAAAACCACTGGTGGTTAAGATGTTGAGATGTCACGTAGAATCAGTCTAGATCCTTTTTATGCTGTGAAGATTACCCAGAGTTCACTTTAACTCTCAGTCCAACTCCAAGATTTGGTTCACTCCTAAACTGTCTGCTAGAAGAAGCTGCAAAGTTTTGTTCCTGTAGTACCACTGTGTGGGCTCAATAAAAACACCTTGATGGGGAAAAACAAAAGTTTAATAAAATTGTCACCTTTTTGCTCCTAAAATCCCACAGCATAATGTTAAGATCTCTACATTTTAAATAAAAGTTATATATGAATCGGTGCTGATTTTATATGCGTGCTTTTGGTTTTTCTTATTTTCAATCTTAAGGACGAAAGTTGGAAAAATGTAAAACTTTAAAAAAAAAAAAAAATGGAAGCATGTGAAATCATGCATCAAGGAAGATTTTTTTTTTTTTAATTGTATTTTTTACGTTCAAAAAAATTTTCCTCCTTTTTTGTCTTGATGATGTCTTTCTACCTTTTTTCCTACGTGTAAATTAGTTTGGATAAAAACTGATGAAAAGACTCGTGAAATTCAGCTTTAAAAGTTTTTTCAGCGCGGAAAAATAAGTCCTGTCACAAAAAAAACCATTCAAATGTTCAACCTGTGAGCTCAGACAGAACTGAACCCAAACGTTATTCAGCAGCGCCGTGGCAGCTAGACAAAGGTTTTTTTTTTTTTGTTTTTTTTTTTGACATACAAGTTTTAATGAAATGTTTTGTCTACTGAGGTCTTTTATTTTGTAGTCATTCCATGCTTAAGCCTTAAAACCTGCTTGTGGAGGTCACCTTTTCTCACAGTAATCTTCCATGTCCGAGGTGAATAATTGGCTCTTAGAACATGAATACGAGGTGGTCAGATGTAATGTGATAAAGTAGATAAACAGCCTATACGTGTTTGCCTAATTATTTTATGTAAGTACAAAAAAAACCAACTCTTCTAAGGATAAAAAAGCGTACTGTTTATTGTTTGTTACTTACCACTACATGGGTATAAATTCTTATTAGATCATGTGTATATATACAAAATTTAATTTCTGTTTTTCATTTTCTCCTACACTGAGTTGTCTATTATCCCACCATCTTTCAGTCACTCTGTTTTCTGATTTGTACTTGTCTGGAGACAGTAACTTTTGAATAAAAATCAACACATTTCTTCTGTGGTACTTCTTACTCTGAGCTCAACAGTAAAGCAGGGTATTCAAGCGTACATGTACACAGTTTGGTGTAGGGTTCAGTCCTGTTGGTGTGACCAAATTGTACTCCAAAAACCAGGCGACTTCCAATACGCTGCACGTATTGATCTGCTTTGCTGATCAGATCCTGTAGTGAGATTAGTTTTCTGTGTCAGTTAAAATGGTAAAATATCTACCAGATTATCTACAGTTTGTTTTAAAGATGAGATTTTCAGAACTGTGAAAGTTGCTGTAAATGAAATGGTTCTCTCCGAGCGTCAAAGGAATGGTTATATTACCGCCCAGTTAGCAAAATAACATGAGCCACTGGGTGCAGTAAATGGTAGCGAAAAGTTACAACTGAAGCTAAAAGTGTCAAAATGCCACCTGAAAACAGGAGACGCAACAGTTCGTGCTCAATAATCCAGGTCCTAATCCATCAGTGTTCAGTCAGGTCATCTGGACTGTTTCTTTTCGGCTGAGATGTTTTGTCCTTAATCCAAAGGACTTCTTCAGTCCGAGGAGCCACAAACAAACAAGTCCCTAAAAGCTATTTGGCATGGCTGCCTCAGAGGAGTTAACTGGAGAGGGTGGGCCCCAGAAACCATTACTACCAGCAAACTTATTCCACTATGGGGGGTATTTGTGGGACTCGGGTTGTTTGTGGCTCTTCGGACTGAAGAAGTCCTTCGGATGAAGGACAAAACGTCTCAGCAATATGAGAGCTTAAAACTAAATTTTTTATTTTTTTTTTGGCTGCTCTCTTCCTCGGGTCATCACAGAAATACTTGGCGATTGTTTTAACGCCGGATGTCCTTCCTGACACAAGCACAGACCACTGAGCTACCACAGCCCTCTGTGTGGAGCAGAGAGCGGCTATGTAGGGCGCCGGGGGAGCAGATGGAGGTTAAGGGGCTTGCTGATGAAGTCCTTTGGATGAAACGTTTCAGCACAAAGAAACTATCCAGAGGAGCTGACTTCACTTTGTTGGAAACCTTAGTTGTGTTTCTCAGGCAGGGCCACATCTGAAGCTGGATTCTTTCTAAATTTGTCAAATTATCGGATGATCCTGAAATTTGAAAACATGTCTGAAGTGATGCACCTGGAAAAAAAGACCCTACAGGTGATGGGCTGTCATGAAAGTCCCTCTCTTGCCACACGGGGGCAGTGCAGTCCTAGTCAGCCATCTTGAACACAGCTGGTTCTGGTGTCACTGTGTAAAATGAGCATGTTTTTCCTGTGTGTGAAGATGCTGTGGCACCTCCATGCATTTATCGTGTGTATCAAAGGGCCTTTTAGCGACAGCGGTGCTTTGTTGTGTGGAGGCGCAGAGCTCCACGGCTACATGATAAAAGTAAGCACACGAGGCAGCAGAAGAAAGGATGAAAGCTGCACAGACTTATTTTATTAAAGTGCATGATTATTAAAGAGGTCCTCAGATCAGTGCAGGAGCTGGGAGAGAGATCCCTTCATGTCCAGCTAACACGTGAAGAGGCTCGTCTGTCACCACGTCAGTCTGCTCCCCACGTGACGGCCTTCAGAGGACCAGGGCTCAGACACCCCCTGCTGCAGCTATCTCAGCTCTTTTCATCACATTGGTAGAGTTTACATTTCAGGATTTGTTTTTCGGGATTTTGGTGAAGGGAGTATAAAAGCTCTACAGCTCAGACTGTAGGAACAAGTTTCAGGGATGAAGTGGGTCAACAGAAACACTTTTGAAATGTTCAACAGGTTTTACACCACCACAGTTTGGGTTTTGTGATTTTTGAAGATTTTTACCATACAATATTCAGCTTAGTTTCTAATATGTCCTTTAAACAAAAAAAGAAAGACTTCGTTTCACATACTTTACACTGGGACTGCCTATAAGAGGCAGCACCTATTGTTATCCACCTGACAAAGGGTTTCTTAACTTTATATCTTACACTTACGTCAACTTTAATGTGGCCCAAACCGCAACACAAATGTTATGTCAAAACGACCAGCTCAGCGTCGTGACGTGTGCGATTACTTTTATTGGCGTTTCGAGTTACAGTGGTGATGTAATTTGTGAACAAAGAAGCCATTTTTCTCATTCAAAACGCCGTCAGAACCCGTCAAAAATTCAAGATGGCTGCCAATACATTTAAATGGCTTTAACTCGACTATTTTTTACACATATAGAGCTGAAGTTTGGTGAGGTTATAGCTGAGAATGTTCCCTATCACATACTGAATCCAAATAAAAAATACAAGATGGCCACCACAGCTTAAAAGAAAAACTGATTATAACGCGATTTTTTTTTTTTTACCATACTGAGCTGGAGTTTTGTATAGTGGTAGCTGAAGGCGAACTCCAACACAAAGTACTATCAAATAAAATGTTTAAATTGGCAGCAGCGTGGCAGTCCCTGTCAAAGTTTCTCCAGGAACTTTCTAGTTCATTCGTGAAACTGTAGACATGTTTTCTTTCACCCAACATGTTTACTTAATGCTACAGGACTATTCTCTCAAAGTCCCTCAGGGTGCACGTTCAAACTCTCATCAACCCATTTTATTTGAGCTCAGAACTTTCTCTGTCTGTTTAACTTGTCTTATCTCCTGCACGAATCCTTGTAGACACGTAAAAACATTAATGTGGTGACGGTCAGAGGCTTCCGCCACCAGACATGTTTATAACACGACATGTAGCTTTTACTGTATCTGTAAAAAGAATCTTATTTAATTTCTACTCTGTGAATGACATGTGGTTACCATGGAGACCCTAACGAGCCTCTGGCAGCAGCTTTAACATTTCTTTTGATCTTGCTTCTCTTTACTCTTCTTATACGATTTGCACAGAAAAACAGCATTTTGTGACGTTAGATTACTCTTAAAGTCAGGTCCAAACTAGAGAAACTGTGAATGTCTTTGTTAAAATTAGCTGAAGAAACTGGTATTAAGCTGTTGCAAATAAAAAGAGCAAAACACTAGCTAAAAGCTAAACGTAGCAACTCACTAGATAATTACTAAAAGGAGCCAGCAACTAGCTAAAAGCTAAATAAAGCAAAAATAGTAGATGAGAACTAAAAGAAATGTATATTTAGATAAACATTTAGCTAAATAAACACACACACCACCACCACCCCCTCCACACACACACCCATACATACATATATATATATATATATATATATATATATATATATGTATGTATGTATGTATGTATGTATGTATGTATGTATGTATGTATGTATGTATGTATGTATGTATGTATGTATGTATGTATGTATGTATGTATGTATGTATGTATGTATGTATGTATGTATGTATGTATGTATGTATGTATGTATGTATGTATT